CCCCTCCCACCCAAACTCTGGGCGAGTTCTGGTGTTAAAATCCCAGGGGAAGGAACTAAAACGGGCCAGTGGTGACTGCAAAAGTGAGTAGAGGGAATGGTGGTGGTAAAGCTGTGCTGCCTGCAGCCGTCTGGCCCCACATCCCCTCAGCAGCATCCCAAGGGGATGAGTCAGGAGCATCCATGTGCGGAGACCCTACAAGTGCCCCAAGGGTTTTGGGGGGGAATTGCTCACCTTGGCTGTATCGTGAGTCTGGAGGAGTGAGAGCATCATGTCCAGGTCAGCTCCCACCTCTCCACCTCCCCACGTGTCGCAGGGGAATGAGAACGTGAGCGAAGGGTGGTGGTGGGAACTCATTCCCTCACTCCCATTGGGATGATGCTTCGAGGAGCACTTTGGGAAAAGCAGATAATAGCTGTGAAGACAAAGACACCCGAGATTGCCTCTTAATTAATTCAGCTGAAGAAGAATATCAGGCTCTCATACTGATTCACCCCCTAGCAAAAGACAGCGTGTTCCTCAGCCTTCATTGACATATGGCTGTTGTTTCCAGCCCACCAGCAGCTCCCGCTCCATGGCAGGCAGGCACGGGGAATGCTGCCTGCCCTGGGTTTAGACTGAGGGATCAGCATGGATGGACAAGGTGGATATGGCAGGGTTGAGGAGCAAGTGACAATGACCTAGCTGTGATCCGTCCTGCTCATTCCCTGCCACCGCAGGGTTATCCCTGAGAGAAGGATTTGGCTCCTGAATCAGGATGAGCAAAGCAAGGTCCTGCCTTGTGACTCCTCACCTCGCCTCGCTGCGCTCTGCCTCTCCCTGCTTCCCCCTCAAACAAAAAACCTGCTGAAGGGCCTCCCCCAGATGCACAAACACCCTGTCAGAGGTGTCAGAACCCGGCCACAGCACGGGCTGGGGGTGCTGCTGCTGGGTCTAATGCTGTGTCACCCGGCAAGAGAAAGAGCAGTACCATCACTTGTACAACAGTGGGAATTTGTCCAGATGCTCCAAGTGAAGGCAGGGCCCTGAACAGCTTCACCCGTGAGGGATGGTCCTCGAGTCCTCTCTGCAGAGGTGTCCCTCCTGGTGACCTGCAAAAGCACAGGGGACAGTCCCCAACCTGGAGGATGTGGTGTTAGAATAGGGAACACTGGGAAGGGGTGGGCACAGACAGGGACTCCCTAAGCCCGGGGGATGGATCCTGGGATCTGCCCATGTGGATCCACTCCCCTCCTGCTGCCCCCGAGAGCCCTGTGGGGTGGTGGCACCATCGCAGCTC